AGTAACACCATGCCAACAAAATGAAGTCACTCTGTCTTATTGTGAAGATCATCTTTGACATGGGGACCTTGATTTGTTAAAATGCTGTGAAACATTCTTATCGCGGTGTTTCTCAAAAATCCCATTTTCAAGCTTTACTGACCTCGGATGAATTTTACTTCAAAGCTATTCAAATTTTTTTCACGAGAACTAAGAACATTGCAATTGTCACCTCCACCTACTGCAGGCTATATTGAATGTCTGAGGCTGGTCCAAACGTTTTGGTGGTTGCAAGATCTTGCAACAGGTTGGAAATGAAAATAATATAAATTGGAAGCACCGTGTATAAAAGCCTAAATAGGATTCTACGCGTACCAACACAGATACAGATATGCGTAACGACGCCATATTAAGATTGGGTTGAACGTGATCCTTAATTAAAGGCAGTTAAATTTGGAAAATAGGTTCCCTTTATGGACCCTCTGTACGATAGTTCTCACGTGACACTAGTCTCGTATAACCTCGCCGAGAAAGTTGAGCTGATTGACAAGATCTGACAATATTCGTCTGCAAGAAAACTCTGCATCGGTCTCTTCTGTATTGGTCTAGCATCTGCCATTATAAAATGTCACCTAAGAAGTCTACGGAAGATGAAGGACATGGTGACTCCACCAAATTTTGTAATAAGCCATGAATAATTTAGTTATCTAAAAAACAAACTGGACACGTTTTCCCCCTTTTCAGCTAGAGTTTTCTTCGATACCTTCCCAATAATGGTATCAAAAACAAAACCCTGATATTATTATGGACAACAGAATAATAGTAACTTGTAAGCCAAAAGAAAAGGAAAATATGGTTTTCGCTGTCACGTAAAAATATATAACTATTAATGTCTAATATCAAATATAATTTGTTTTTTTTTCTGCTCACAAACAATTCTGAAGGAAGCAACAATGTCTGATCTTTACAATGAATCAACAATTTTATTTTATCTCAGTAACTGACCAATTTAAATGATCTTAACGCTGAACGAGCGTACAAATCCTTGATCCCTATTGATGGGTTTACATGATGTGTATTCAACTCTTACATTATTTATGTTTATATTGGAAATTCCGCCGCGTAAAAATATAGTTCATATACTACTGTATGGTTTAAGTGACTTTATAACTTCTATCCTGTATATGTGATTCCAAAATAGTCAATGATATTGTTTTAATTTGATCATTTCATTCTTTAACAAGACAAATTGAAATTAATCACAGCAATTGATTACTGATGCGAATTACTGCGCTTAGTGTATAATGTGTGTGAATAAAATATTGTAATGGCCGAATGAACTGGATTTCAGTTTCATATAGCAAACGATCTTTATTGAGCTACATCAAATAAATCAGTTAGATATAAATAAGGGAAATGGGGAATGCAGCTACTGCAAAGAAAGGGGATCCAACAGAGAATGGTATGTAATTATTTTGTGACAAATATTGAAGGCAATGATCTCAACTTAATATGTATCTACTGACTACTGTAAAATGTATATTATTGCAGCAAATAGATTCACATAGACCTGTATGACAGAATTACAGTGGTCATGGTAATGAACGAATGATTTCATATAATTTATTTATAGATCAGTTTATTTTTCAAGTTGTTATTTTTGATTGATATTGAACGCTTAAAATTTTACATTTATTATGATAAACATTTGATGTCTTGTGCTGGATACCTACAGATACATATCATATGTAGTTCAGTAATAAAGAGGCAAGGATTGATCATTGCCAATAGAATATATTGTTGAAAAAAAAATATCCACAAACTGTTATACCTCTGAATGCCCCATCCCCTTAAGATATATGTATAAAAAAAACAAGTAAACATCATAATTACATGTAATCCTTTACTGTTCAGTAAATTGGAAAAGGTTTCCAGTCAAGTATTCATTACTTATAAGTAATTGTATCCCTATGTAATCTGTGATGCTCTTTCAGGAGATACATGTAGATATAATAAATTTTAATAGGAATATGAAAATTCTGCTGTTAGGTTGAAATGCATACATAACCATATGTATAGCCAGAGACACATAAAATATTTCGAGTTTCTGGTATAGTGGACACCGTGTATGTCATGTCTAACAAGTTTCTTGGATATATGATGAGGGTACATTGTGTACATGTGTAGGTTATTCTTATTAAATGTTCCATTTATGTTGTAGTGGAAAATTTTCTGTAGATGAGCAGATTTTTTTTCTCACTTTTTAAGATTATATACATTTTTTACTTAAACGGTTAAAATTTGGGTGTGTTAGTTAACCAAAACTTAAGTCTTGGATACATTTAGTTTTTGTTTTTGACGCAGACCTTAGCCATTAGGAAATGTTTGAACATTTAGTTTTTGTTTTTGACTCAGACCTTAGTCTTTAGGAAATGTTTGAAGATCTTTTGGGTGTCATGTCCTATTAGTAAAAATAAAAAATTTAAAATGAACTGTGTTTTTGAGGATTAATTTACCAAGTTACCTTCATGTTGTAAACTTTGTTCCTTTGTGATACTGTTACATTCTTATAAAAACAATATGAAGTGCATCTTTCTTTGCTTGATAGGTAATTACATGTGTAGGACTGATTCAGATTTATATCCTATAAAGAATTAGTATCTGTGTTGACAGTTAACAATTTTTTTGTCGAAAGTGAAAATAGGCATCAAACATTTGTAATTTATTCAAATAAGGCACATGTTTTCTTCTTTGACCTGAGTCCTGTACGTGAATATTGTTACCATCACAGTAGTACAAATTTCAATCTTTTTCATTCTGTATCTGATATCTCCAATGTGTATTTTGATAAAGGGCAATTTATATGGGCCATTATAATCAAGGGATGGTAAATTGACAAATTTGTTTCATTACATATTGGAATCTCTTGATGTTTTCTCAATTAACAAATACAATAACCTCTGTTTGCACAAAACAATGTTCCTTTGAAAGAATGAAAGATCCAACTACAGTACTACATAAACGATTGCACTTCTAACCTCTAAAGGGAAAGTCGACTATTGGAGATGGAGATTTATTTAACTCCAGGTCAACTTGATTTCACTTTTGACAATTGAAAAAAAAGCGAAGTGAATGAAGGGAGGGTGACTTCACCAATGATGTTGTCACTAAAAATATTCTTCTTGTTTGCTTAAAAATAGGTTGTTGAAATTGATCAACATAAAATTAAGTTAATGATTATATACCCTTTTGTTGTTTCAATGCTAAACATATGGAAATTTTATAGAAAATCCACAGACTTTCCCCTTGTATTCTAATATTTGACAATTCCGTGCTTGATAGATAGAGGATTCTTGCATGTAGTGCTAGCAATAATTTTCTATAACAAGTTTATATATTAAGATATTGGTTAAAACAAATATAAATTTGGCCCAATTCAAGTACACCTTCTAGGGTGCGCTCAACTTAAGTGACTCAGCATGAGGTTTTTTGGAATGTAAAGGTTGTTTAGAAATTTTTGTAAACAATAAACGCTAGCACATCATGGACAAACAAGTGAGTAATCTATTGTTTAAAATTTTATAACGAAAATATTTGTTTAAAAGTCTGGATTTTCTGCAAGAAATTTTGCGTTTATTTGCCACAAAAATCCCCATTTTCTATTAAATGCAATAAAACAATAAATAATATTGCTTTGAACGAAGTTTCCCTTTGATATACTGTATGTACAAAATGGCACATCTCTATTATTCATCATCTTTGCTGTTTTGATATAATTTCACTTTTAAAAATTCGTAATACACATGGCTACAGAAGGGGTCATAAACCTTAACATACATGTATATATATATTTCAGATTAATGACATGATTGATAATACATTTTGGGCTTAACAATAACCATAAAGTTTATTCATAATCTTCACTAGCCATAATTGGGGGTACAGTGTCAGAACAAAGGTTACCTCTATTAAGCAAAAACCTGTCATGTCTTCTTGTCCTGCTATTGTAATACATGTACTAATATGCATTTAAATGATTTTGAACCTCAATTTAAAGGTCACCTCTCTTATAATAAGGTCAGTTTTCTCTTGTCCCAAAGGTGACCTTTATTTACAGGTTTTGACTGTTATACATATATGCATGTACATATAATGTTTAGCAGCTCCATGTTTCATTCAGCCTAAAAAAAAAATTTTTGCAGAATTGTTTTTTTTATTATTATTATTTTAATCTTTAATTCAGACAACACCATTGAAATGTTATGAACAGTCAATTTATAAAATGTAACATGTACGATATGCAAATGTTTATACTATTAGTAAATTAATTATTACTTTAGTAAAGATACATTTGCATGTCATACATTTGTACATGTGGTCATAGACTACTGAAAAGCCTTGAAATTTCTCAGCTCCAACATTTTTGGGTTTTCTCTTTTGAATGTTTGGCACATCTTGAACATATGGCTACCCCTGTTTTTTTTGCCCAGCCATATCATACTTATAGTTATGATGTTAAGATTGGATATTTTAGGATGCAGTATAGGAATATGCGTTTAGAACTAAAAAGCATTGCAGAAACTCATTGACACCTTTGATATTTAAGGTTTTCTGTTTGCTTGTCTCCTTGTACTTTAAAGCTTAGCTTATACTGTTGTAATTACAATTCATTGTGTAGGTTACTGTACAAGAAGCAGGCATAATTTTCAGTACAATTAAACCTGTATATAAAGAATATCCTTGTGACCAGAGAAACTGACCTTAAAAGAAATGTGACCTTTGAATTGAGGTTCTAAATGCATAAATGCACAATCAAACATGTACATTGTACATGTAGGTATTACTACAGTGGGACAAGAACAGGATGACTTGATAAGACAGGTTTTAGCTTTATATACAGATGTAGCAGGTTTGACTGTAATTTTTTGTGTATGATCTTGCTATTCTACTAAGACTTCTAACTTACAGTATAAAAGTAATCTTATATCACTTAACTTGTATTATTTTTACTTCTTTTACAGTTAAAGAATTTTTAACAAAAGCAAAGGAAGACTTCACACAGAAATGGGATCACCCACAGCAGGTATGTTACATAAAATAATATCATACTGAGTCTGCAAAGTTAATGATGCAACCATTGGTTAGGTAAATAGTTAGTATGCATTTAGCCTTACATCCTCGTTCATTGTTCTGAAGTGGATAGATGTATCACTGGCAATCATGCTGGCCGTGGGTCACATTTTTTTTTACATTTAGGTACATTTTTGTGCATATGTATACAAATGTACATGTATAACAGTGTGTGAAACTAACTTTTTGGGAGGCATAGTCTGATCATTAAATTTACATAATCCACACTGTACATTGTACATGTATATGAAATATGCAGCATATTTAGCAAAGACCGGCTTGATTTTACATCTACTATCTATTGGTCTTCTTCTAAATTTGCACATTAGTATAATATATCCTGCAAAGTTTAAGGTTAAGACATGACTGACATTAAATAAGCATAAAAAATAGATATTGTATGCATGGTATTTGTGATGAATGAGTGTAGATTCAAATTCCATTTTAGAAATTGAAAAGAAAAGAATATATGTAGGTAGATGGCAAATCAGACTTTCTAGTGAATTTGCATTAGTTAAGTATGAGATACAAGTGCCCATATACATATAATACTGACAAAGTCTGCAGAAAATGTGCCATGTACATGTACATCTGTGAATGCAAATTCTCTTATCAATTGTGCAAACCGTGGCGAACAATGTGGAACAAATTCAGTCATCAATGGTAGACTTCTGAATTACTGGTTCATTTCAAAGTTTATTAAAACACAATATTAAAAGCAGGTGGATAGAACAGATTTTCACTGGCTTGTAAACTTCTGTCTTTGAATGATATTATACTGAACTTAAAAAGAAAGATATGTCATTGAATAATTTTCGATTGCATAACATTAAACAGTTATTTTTGCTTCAAAAAGAATAAGGACACTAGAAAAAATGTTTGTTGGGAGGTTAAGTCCTGAAAATAGCCATTGGGTCAACTTTTTATGTGTTTACTGTTAACATTTACTTAAGTTAATAATGATTGGGAAGTTATTTTTTTTTATGCCCCCGCCTTGGCGGAGGAGGCATTAAGTTTTACCCTTGTCTGTCTGTACATCCGTCCGTACATCAGTATGTCCGTACGTCCCGTAAATGGTTTCCGTTTACTAACTTAAGTTTGCCTCAACCAAATGTTATGAAACTTATACACAATTCTTATTACCATAAAACACAGATCAGGTTGAAATTTGGGTGTCACTTTTACCATTCTAGAGTTACATGTATGCCCTTTACAAATAGAAAAATTGCTGAATTCGTTTCCGTTCTCTAACTTAAGTTTGCCTCAACCAAATGTTATGAAACTTATACACAATGCTTATTACCACAAAACTCAGATCAAGTACGAATTTGGGTAGGGTCACTTATACCGTTCTTGAGTTATGTCCCTATATAGCGTTATATGCAAGCGGGGGCATCATCTGTGTCCCATGGACACATTCCCCATTTATTTAAGGTTAAACAAAAGTTAATTTTGGCAGTTATATTATAAGAACACTAGAACACACTCGCAACATCGCAGGTCCATGACTGAATTTAAGTACCTATGTCTTATTTGCAGCCTGGATTTTTAGTATTCGTATTGTCATTTGATAAAGTCATGTTGATTATAAAGTGCACAGTTTTCTTTGCTTTCAAAATCTTTCTGTTTGAATCGGTCCTGGTTTCCTTACTACAAGTGGAAACTACTTGTAGATATATTATTTTGGTCAATGATTGAATTTAGTAGTGTCAATCCCTGTATAATGGAGAAGGTCAGGTGTGATTATGATCTGTGTATATAGCAAATCCCATATACTACGTTTGATGGTGCGCCTGACAGAGGCAGAACATACAGATTAGGTAACAGGTAACAGGTACTATTGGTATCGGTTTCGGATTCTACCCGGTACTTGTTCATTGTTGGTAATATTAATTATATGGAAAACAAAAGGGCCTGGAATGGTGTAATTTTTAATCAACAGCTTGTCCTATATTAGTTACATATAAATACAGTTGAATTCTTTGATTCATCGTTTTTACGTCATGCTGACTAACAAATTGGACCTCATTATTTTAGTAGTATAGATGCTTACACAATATGAAGCCTGTTTCTGATACATGTACAATCTATTTGACTATCTGTATGAAACAATAGAACAGTTTGATAATGTTTATAATTACACAAAAAAAGTAATGCATTTTTATTTAGGTTAAAAGTAGAGTCTTTAGAAATGTCCCAATAGATTTACAAGGTCATTGAACTTGAAAATTATAGAAAGTCATTGCTAAAGTTTCCTTGGGCATGCATGAATCAACAGATATGTAGTAATGATAAGGATCAAATTTGAAGAAAACATGTAATTTTCTAGGATTTTGTTAATGTAAAATCAAAAAGTAAGAATACAAGTTATAAAATTTCTGACCTACATGTACCAACACTTTTTTGTAGCAAAAGACAGTAAACAGGCGTATATAATTTTATGTGCCTTATAAATCTCTACAAATTTTGTGTAGTCCATTTGGACTTACAGGTATAAGTAACATCGTATTGGATGGCTCATGAACAAGAAATTTGATAGATTTTTTTGTGTTGAAAATGAAAGGAATGAATCAGTTTGTAATTCATTAGATTTACTCAGCATGAGAAAATGTAAAGTATTATGAGAACACTGTTTTTGTGTTTAACTACATGTACATGTCATTTTTGTTTAACTACATGTACATGTCATTTTGACATTATTCACTATTCCTGGTATTGAATCAGTGTTAGAATGGTCATACATGGACATTCAAACAAGCTTATCATTACACCACTGTAGAAAAATATGTGTGATTTATTATAAGATGTCAGACTTGCATAGTTACTGAGAGTAAAAAAAAAGAAGAGAAAAATCATCATGCTTGTTTGTATCATGCTGTTTGTACATGTTATATTTAAGTAAGAGACAGTCAATTTCTGGTCCTTTTTTTTGGTAGAAAGTATGTTTGTGAGGTGGGATGTTGATTTAAGTGCAGTTGTATTTTGAACAATTTTGTATTAAGTTGGACATTTTTAACTTTGCTGATCAGTTCCTATCTTCAGAAGGGTTTGTGAAAGTTTCCTAAGTAAATATGATTAGCTCAGTGTCTTTACAGGTACATCTAATTTTACAAAATGTCAAAAATAAGCAGCTGCATATAATATGATGTGTATACACACTGAAGAACATGCAATTTACATTATCAATATAAGTTATTGATTTCATATCTTTCCTGTAGGAAGCCTCTTCTCATTCTTGAAATTGACATTGATTTAATTGGAAAGCTGAGAAGGCCAAGCTCTCACTTGGTGTATATAAATAACTTCCTTTGTGATAAATATTGTTTCAATCTGTTGTACATCAAGAAGAGTTAGTACATGTAAAGCTAAGTAACACCACACCCAGGGAATCTGTGCATAAAGTGTGTTAAATGTAACTTGTTTGACAGCAGGAAAAATGAAAATCATCTCACTGGAACAGGTCTTTGGTCACTAAAGTTTTGATGTTGCCGAGTTGTAAACACTCCTGCCCCCTTTAAAATTAACACCATTAATAATAAATAAATAACACTAGTACTTTATTTTTGTCTATTTATTTATCATTGATTGCATTAATTACAAAACTTGTTTTCTCAAGACTTAGGGTTAATGTCTATCTCTTTGACCTTGTGGTAACTAAAATCTAAGTTTGAACCCAACCACATGTTCATGTGCCTGTCAGAAGTCAGGGTTTTTTTTGTTACCATTTAGTACTTGAAAAATTGTATAATCATTTGTCTTTTTTAAAGACTGCTAATGGACCTCTAGATTTGTTTTATGTGGTTGGGTTGTGTCTCATTGGAGTATACCCCCCATTTCTTTTTAATTATGCTAATTTTATTTGTAACAATGAATAGATTATTTTCCAATTTAACACTAAAAAAAATGTAAAGAAATGGAACTGACTATGATATACAAAGTCTTTTTAAGAAATATGAACACCATATATGCATTAAATACCAGGTTTACCTGCTTTTGTGAATTTGTTTGCTTACTTTTTTGATGAGATTCCCATATGTTGTCCTTCTATAAAGTTTATAGTCATATATGTACCAATACATTGAAAGAAACCAATCTTGAATTGCTGTATAGTTACATGTATACACTTGATTTCAGAACACTGCCTGTCTAGATGACTTTGACAGAATTAAGACCCTTGGAACAGGGTCCTTTGGAAGGGTGATGCTAGTCCAGCACAAAGCAAACAAAAATTACTATGCCATGAAAATTTTAGATAAACAGAAAGTAAGTATAATATGTATGCTTTATTTACTTATACTTAAGATGTACAATGTATGAATATGAACAGAACTCATAGTTGTTTGCTTGCACAATGTCTTGCAGATTTTTTTTCATAACTTGAAAAATCTCATATTTTGAGATTTTTAGTAAAGTGCAGATTTTCAGCTGTAATCCTATAAACATGTACACATCAGTGGTCTCGTTAGCCCAAAATAGAAGGGCGCCGCGCCCTTGGTGTTCTCAGCCGCGCCCTGGGTGCCTTCATCCGCGCCCTTCTGCCCTGACGCCTTTTTCCAAAAAAACCTTGTGCCGTTTTGGTAAAATTGCCTTTTGTTTCATCGATTTCTTATCACAAAGTTAAATTACATATATGACACCAGGTGATTGTCCCCAGGTTAATCATGTCATTACAATCAATTACAGTGGATAAGACTTCAAAGGTGTTAATAACTAGGTAATTTAATTAAGACAATGTACCTTTTTGTCATAAATTCGATCTCCCAAGAAGAGTGTATAAATGAAGACTTTCATGACTTTAGAATAGAATTTAAGTCATCAAAATACAACTATGCCTTCACAGAAACGCTGTCCATCTCAACTTGTGAGCGACAAGCAAACAGTAAACATGTTCGAAATTAATTTTGGAGTTACTTCCCCTGTTTTAGCTTATTACAAATTTGTGCTCCTAAAATATTATCTAGTACTAAAAATAGGAATAAATTACCAGTTGAATACAAAATTATATAAGAATGTTACCTTAAGGATATTAACTGTCTTTGAACATACCAAAAAAAATTTATTGCAATTTATTTTTGATAATCATACTTTTAGCAATCCATGTTCTATACATTGTCAATTAAGAAATTTGTCAGTTCAATTGTTATAATGATGTTAAGCTGCAATACTACAAAAATGGGTAGTGTGAAGTTAAACTATCATGACATCAACTTGATGAAGCTTTACTAAATAATTCCATAACACACAACAATGAAAAAAAGTTTTGAGGGCCAAACTCTAGCTGAAAATTTTGAAATAAGACAACTCTGTCACATGTATGCTAAATTATGAGATGTTTAGTTTATGTTGGTTTTTTTTGGAATGGGGGGGGGGGGGGGAGGAGAATAGTAAGTTAATTTGCCTCTATTGGTTTATAGTGATGTGATGTATGAATGTGTATTGACATGTTTTATGGACATGTCGAATGAATAACATTTTCTAATGCAAATTTTATAGAATAAATAATCAAAACAACAACTTATGCATCTTTATTAACAACATATACAGTAAATAAAAGAATGTGAACTCGTGATACACACAGAAACGTAGACAAAAGAAATGAGCAGTGCCTTTTCCTTTCATAAAAAAGTGCCCTGCCCTCCACTGGCACCCTGCCCCTTTTGATTTCTAGCTGGAGCACTGCACATGTAATACCAATGACTATGCAGGATTCATGGGATTTGATCATTTATACCAGATTCTTTAATAGAAAATATCAACCTTTTTATAAGTTGTTTACTTCTGAAAAATTCAAAGTTTCATTTAAACAAATACTTGAGGGCTTTTCCAGAAACAATTTAGGTCAGATCGAAGACTGACAAATCAAATAAGATTTAATGACTTGTGTCTGTTTCTTAAAATAAGCATTAAGAAATAAAAGCATATTATTAAATTCCTTTGGAGATGAAATAAAAAGTTTTCTCAGATTCCTTCCCCTGCATTCATTTCAGGAAGAGCCCTGATTGTCTTTTGAATAACAGTTCAATTTTACATCAGCAAATTGAATTGAATAAGGGAACGACCATTTAACTTCAAGGGGGGGAGGGGTTATGGTTTTTTCCTAAAAAAATATTCTGATCCCCAATTTGATGAAAAAAAATATTGTTGTCAAGCAGATGACAAAAAAAATATTCTGAATCCAGATTTTCCCCATACCTTATAATGTTAAATTTTGAAAAAAATAATTTGATTGATAGCGTCGAAAAACTAAAAAAAATGTTCACGCTTTGCACGAAAAAAAATTCTGACTAAGACAAAAAACCATAACCCCCCCTTCTCCCCCCCCCCCCCCTTTTGAAGTTAAATGGTTGCTTCTTAACATCTATAGTGAAAACAATCACCATAATTTAAATTTAATAACAGGTTCCTGACAGTAAATATTTGATTATATGTAGTACATGTATTAGTGTTATTATCCCCTTTTGGTGAACTTTAGGTTTTCTGATTAATTATTTTTTAATTTGTAGGTTGTTAAATTAAAACAAGTAGAACACACACTAAATGAGAAGAGGATATTACAAGCTATTAGTTTTCCATTCCTTGTCAGCTTAGAATATCATTTTAAGGTGAGGTTTTGGAATAATCATTTATGTTAGATTAGATGGAATTGTATGTATGTATGTATGTTTGATGTATATATATGAATAGGTAGAGGCCATATAAACAGGGAAAACGGACACCCTTGACCAAAGTAACTTCTCAAAATAGAATTTTGAATGGTAATACCATCATTGATTGTAAATGAAGTTCAGTATTTTTCTGAAGTTTGAACCTGTTTTACTACAGATGACAATAAGGCTATTGGTTTTTTGACAAATGATACATTTTTATACGACCGCAAAAAAATTTTTGTGGTCGTATATTGGTATGACGTTGGCGTCGTTGTCGTCGTCATCGTCGTCTGGCGTCGTCCGGCGTCGTCCGAAGACACATTGGTTTTCGCACTCTAACTTTAGTTTAAGTGAATGGATCTCTATGAAATTTTACCACAAGGTTCAATACCACAAAAGGAAGGTTGGGATTGATTTTGGGGGTTATGGTACCAACAGTAAAGGAATTAGGGGCCAAAAAGGGGCCAAAAATAAGCATTTTTGTAACTTCCAGACATAACTTGTGTGTTAGTGTATGGATCTCTCTGACATTGTACCACAAGGTTCCATATCACAAAAGGAATGCTGGGATTGATTTTGGGGGTAATTGCCTCAAAATTTTAGGAATTAGGGGCCAAAAAAGGGGCAAAAAACAAGCATTTTTCTAGTTTCATGACAATAACTTGTGTGTAAGTGTATGGATCTTTCTGAAATTGTACTACAAGGTTCCATATCACAAAGGGAAAGCTGGAATTGAGTTTGGGGGTAATTGCCGAAACGTTTAGGAATTGGGGGCCAAAAAGGGGCCAAAAATAAGCATTTTTCTAGTTTCCAGACAATAACTTGTGTTCAAGTGTATGGATCGCTCTGAAATTGTACTGCAAGGTACCATACCACAAAGGGAAGGCTGTGATTGATGATGGGGGTAATTGCCGCAATATTTTAGGAATTAGGGGCCAAAAAGGGGCAAAAAACAAGCATTTTTCTAGTTTCAGGACAATAACTTGTGTGTAAGTGTATGGATCTTTCTGAAATTGTACTACAAGGTTCAATATCACAAAGGGAAAGCTGGAATTGAGTTTGGGGGTTATTGCCTAAACGTTTAGGAATTGGGGGCCAAAAAGGGGCCAAAAATAAGCATTTTTCTAGTTTCCAGACAATAACTTGTGTTCAAGTGTATGGATCTCTCTGAAATTGTACTGCAAGGTACCATTCCACAAAGGGAAGGCTGGGAATGAGTTTGGGGGTGATGAATCATAAGGGGGTTCAAAAAATTAGGGGGGGGGGATTTTTTTTTTTTTTCCTTTTTTTTCTTTTTTTCCTTTTTTTTTCTTTTAAAATTTTCCATTTTAAGTTGGTTATTTCTGATTTATATTTAAAAGCAAATAATTATGATATGGTAGGAGATACACACCAAACAGGATGTGTAAATTATTATATTATAAGTATTGTGCAATAGCAAGAAATTTTCAATTGCACAGTATTGCACAATAGCAAGAAATCTTCAATTGCACAGTATTGCGCAATAGCAAGAAATATCCAATAGCACAATATTGCACAATAGCAAGAAATTGTAAATTGTACAGTATTGCGCAATAGCAAGAAATATTTAATTGCACAGTATTGTGCAAAAGAAGATACTTCGTATAAATTGCTTTTTTCTTGACCAATTTCAATGGGGTTTTATTCTTGAATTCTTCGGGTTCTTTAATATGCTGAATCTAACTGTGTATTTAGTTTTTGGATTTTGGGCCCCGTTTTTAAATTGGTCCACATTGAGGTCCAAAGGGTCCAAAAATAAGCTTTGTTTGATTTCATAAAAAATTGAATTATTGGGGTTCTTTGATATGCCGAATCTAACCGTGTATTTAGATTCTTAATTTTTGGTTCCATTTTCAAATTGGTCTACATTTAGGTCCAAAGGGTCCAAAATTAAACTTAGTTTGATTTTAACAAAAATTGAATTCTTAGGGTTCTTTGATATGCTGAATCTAAACATGTATTTAGATTTTTGATTATGGGCCCAGTTTTCAAGTTGGTCCAAATCGGGGTCCAAAATAAAACTTTGTTTGATTTCAACAAAAATTGAATATATGGGGTTCTTTGATATGCTGAATCTAACCATGTATTTAGATTTTTGATTTTTGGGCCCCGTTATCAACTTTGTCCACATTGAGGTCAAAAGGGTCCAAAATTAAACTTTGTTTGATTTCATCAAAAATTGAATTCTTGGGGTTCTTTGATATGCTGAATCTAACCATGTATTTAGATTTTGGATATTGGACCATAATAGGTGAATGTCCAATTTTAAAATTTTTAAGTTCTTAGACCACATTCATTCTGTGTCAGAAACCTATGCTGTGTCAAATATTTAATCACAATCCAAATGCAAAGCTGTATCAATCTTGAATGTTGTGTCCATACTTGCCCCAACTGTTCAGGGTTCGACCTCTGCGGTCGTATCAAGCTGCGCCCTGCAGAGCATTTTATTATATTAGTGTATGTTATACTGTCTCAGGGTATTGAATTTACTGATTACATTTAATTTATTGGACAAGAAATGGATAAAGTCCATGGTCTGTTGTATAGAGAGTTAACTTTCAATGATTATAAATGTTCTTTTTAGTTATTTTTAGATCAATCAAAAATTCTTTCAGAAGGGGAAACAATATTATAAAGAAACAATTCATTTTAAAGTTTAGATAATAATATCCATGTCAGAAGCTCAAATAACAATTATATTATACTGGAATGTCCTGATACCATTCTGATCTTCGTTTTTGTTCACAGGGTGTATGGGCTCTTATACCCTGTCAAGGTAACCAATCAAATTGCAGGATTAGCTGAGATGTTTCACTCCAGTATGATGTACCCATATTTATCTTTCTTTTATTCCTGTTAAAAAAAACAAAAGTGCTTTTAGTAACAATGCTGGAATTTGGCAAATTTTTGTATTCTTTAATTTTAGGACAACTCAAATTTATACATGGTATTGGAATTTGTCACTGGAGGAGAAATGTTCTCACATTTGCGACGTATAGGAAGGTTCAGGTATGTTTTTCACCACCTTGTTCGCAGATCTTGTGAATTCTATAAAAAAAGATTCTTAACCTTTGATCACAAAGCTAATTAACATTAGTAATTTATCATGAAGAAAGTTGTGTTTTCACCTTTCAATGTTTAATTTTTTCATTTATTGTTTACAAAATATAGCTGTCAGAAAATTAACTCTTTACAGTGGTTTGATTTATTCTAAATCAATTGTTTTTATGATGCATCAGACATTTTGAACATTATTGACAAAAGTGATCATTTTCATATAATTAATGTGCTGAAGTAATCAAATAGAAAAAGTATGTATACATGTTAACCATTCTTACCATATTACAGATGTGCTTTTATCTCCTTCTCATAATTCACAGGAAGATATAAATTGTATGTCTATTGTGTTCTTTTTCCTACAGTGAGCCACATTCCAGGTTTTATGCAGCCCAAATTGTATTGGCCTTTGAATATCTTCATTATTTAGATCTTATATACAGAGATTTGAAGCCTGAGAATTTACTAATAGATTCCCATGGGTACCTTAAAGTAAGTAAAGCCGTTAGGATTTAGCCCTGGATATTGTTCTTTATGATGTCATGTATATCAAGCTATCACCAAAAAAAGAATAAGTGGTTGACTGAAATCAGTGAATACACACAATTTATTTAAATTCAAGTTGAGACTATACTCACAAAGAGATTTCGTGAACTACAACTCTTGGTAGTTATGAGTGTTTCATTGTCAAACAGGGTGATTGTGATTACATGATCTACAACCACTTTGTACATATTTTCAATGATTCCAATTCACTAGCAAGAGTGATTTCATCACAATCACTAAGTGTTTATTTATTATTTAGAAAAACAGAACTTGTTTTAAATTTTGGTGCTAGGTTGATCAGTTTGTCGTTTGTTATCCACGTGCATCCAGTGTGATTTTAAGTTTGAATTAATATATTTTGTTATTTTTGACAGTGAGCATCATTCCAGGTTTTATGCTGCACAAATTGTGTTGGTTTTGGAATACTTGCATCATTTGGATATTATGTACCGTGATTTAAAACCAGAGAATTTACTAGTTGATACGATGGGCTATCTGAAGGTATAGTGTGGTGTTGTTTTGGACAAAACAAACCTAGGATTGTTCTGTTGCTTATAGCAACTGTCTCATGTCTTTCTCTGCAGCCAGTTACAAAAGATTTTTATATTTCATGCTTTTGTAAGACAAATTTGTTTCATAGCAAAGCTCATTTTCAGCAGTCTTTTCTTATTTGGAAATGTTTAACCTATTTGTTCATGAGCATGAAAGAAACAAACTAAAAGACAATGATACTAACTTGTGTTAAGTTCAGAGCCATTTGCATAAAAGTACAAAGCATCCTTTTTTCCCAGTTTACTAAGCATCTTGTTTCCTTTCTTCATATTTGCATATTGCATTGGTTCAGTTTATGCATTCAGTAAAAACAAAAGGGGAGATTACTGTAGATTCTGATTTCCTTTGCATTTTACATTTGATCAAAAATATAACATTTTCTTTTAAAAAATAAGATGAATACTAAAATATGATTATTACTGCATTGTTTTATCATGCCTTATTTTAAAAGGAAACATTTGATGAGCTTTGTTGGAATTTGTTCGTTGTCATTAGCATAAAAAAGACAAGTCTTTGATAATTGGCTGTACCTGTATTGGCCTGGGTAAGCTTTACTATGTCTTTGTGCTGCATTGTTGTCAGGTAACTATGGTTACAAGAGAAACTTGTCTGGCTACTACTGATAACAACACATAGCTTACAGTAACAATAGCATGCCTCTATGGTGGTGGTGATATCTTCCCAAGCTTGTGTTGCTTTAATATTAAATCTCGCTCTGCTAACATCCTTCTCATTTATGTTGATATAATTTCTAATTACCAGTTATGTTTCTGTATTGGTGGCGGTGGTTTCATTGTATATTTTAGTTTACAGAGTTTATAGTGTTGTTCTGCTAGACCTGACTCATCTTTCTATCGACACTAATAAACAGTGTTTACATTATTTAGTCTTAATTCTGCTGTAGTGTAGCTAAAATGAGTACTACAAAAAGTGACAAAATTGAAATTAGAATTTTATGTAAATCACTGTTCTTGTCCTCAAATTGACATAATCAGTTTCTGCTATGGATATTTCATAAAAGTTCATTCAACTTGGTGTTATGCCAACAAAAATGTATTAATAGATTTTCCTGTTTTTGCAAAATGCATCGACCTTCAAACTTGTTTGTACTAATACATATTTCAAAAGAAGTTAAGTAAATTTTAACCTTTTTCAGAGATGAATGTGTATTATTATGTGATGTATTATCTTGCGATAATTATGGTTGCATCAAAGAACTGCACAAGAATTTTTATTTTTATGGCAGACAAAAGCATTCCATGAAAATACATCATTTTCATTCATTTCTGTTGAAGTTATCACTTCTGTTCGCTTTTTGAATTATTGTTTGCTGATAAATTTCATTTGAAATCATCTGACATTCTTTCATGCTTGACAAGATTTTCCTTAAACAAGACCCATGTTTCCCTAAATTTTTGTTTTGTTAATACTACACTTGAATTGGTAAGACAGCATTATATGTTGAGTTTATCACATAACGATGAACTGATATTGTCAATTGTTTATCTGATAATAACATTATGTAGTGCATTTAAAAATCCAAACTGTCAATCTAATATTGCAGTATTGAATCAGATTGAAAAAATGAAGTTTTGGCATTTAATTTTTGATATTGCAAACCTATTGTGAATGAATAAAGAAAATAATTTACTTTTTTTGAAATCCTATCAACTGAAAGAAACATTGTTATATTCCTATTTAGTTTGCTGTTGGGATTTTCAAAAGAGAAACATAAATGGGAAAATTTCCTTAGTTGACCTTGACTGCTGTTGTTGAAGACCATAAATTGACCTCTAAATGTCCTATTTGTGTTTTTTTGTGTTGGGTTGCTTTGTCAATGACAGATGTCATGATTTCTGTTTATTCTTCTCTTATTAAATCTTTGGGCATCCCGTTAAAAAAAGGGGGGGGGGGGGGGGGGGGGTTGAAATTTTAGTTGTAGTTAGATAATTAGTATACCTTTAGTTGTTCATTATACTTGACTTATTTCACCTTGCATGTTTCCCAGCTTTTTAACCTGTTGTCCTTTAGTCATCAGATAATTATGTTAGTGATAGGTCTATTTAAAGATAGATTGAATGTTCACCCTTAGGATGTTACCATAAATAGTCATTAAAGTTTCTCTTGACCTTGTTACATGGTTGATCACCAGTGATTTATCTTAGTTGTGTATCTGGAGAAAGGACAACCTCTGATTTTAGATGTATTGATTATTGATGTCCACATTTAAATCCACAACCTAGGTCAACAGATTTACTAATATATTAGAAAATCATTTGTGGAAAATTTCCACTTGATTTCCTCTGTTAAGGGATTATTTGTAAGTGAATAAATAAGACAACCTTCAGTTAACTATGAAAATATTGATTGAATGTCTATCCCCCATTCGGAGCAATGTCCTTTGAATTTTATATGAAGAAAAACATTTTGGTTTTAAATTAAAATTTCCTTTCTTATGTGCAAAAATATCAAGTTACTTAATATGATATTATTTTGTCTGGTGATATGTGAGAAGAAAAATAAGCCATGTTTATGAAAATTATTTGAGGATTACATGTAATAAGGAAGAAGGGAGGGGTTTATTGATTCTCTCTTTGATATTTTGCTATGTACTTAAATCACCTGAGCAATTATTTTCAACTCACAAGGTATTCAAATGCTAATCTGCATTTGAAAATTTTATCTGATGTGAAATAAACAACCAAATTGTTAAGATATATTTCTATGTGAACTTCTGTGGGACGTCAAACACCATAATTCTTGTTTTTTCAGTAAAGATCTTTTGATTTTAATAATTGTTTATTTTGCTGTCCACAAAAACATCAACTTTGGCGTTTACGTAGGAAAAAAATATGACAACACTTGTCTACGTCATCAATAATCTACTTCCCAGCGAGGACAAATAGTTTGTTAAAATAATCCTAGTGATCAATTGTTAACTGGTAACAAGTTGTAGATTGCAATAAATTGACTTTGTTTATTGCCAAAGGGTGTTTTGGTTGTTGATTTATAATTTCTTTTGAAATATAAAGAAATACTGAAAGTCTGGATTTTTTTGCAGTTTGTTTTTCAGCTCTGTATATAACTTTTCAACTTTTTGATATTGTGTAATGATACTGAAATATTGATATACATTTGTGTCTTTATTGACAGCTATATAAATGTTTTGGTTAACTTGATTGCTATGTTATCAGTGTATGTAGAATTGATGCAGTGTTCAGAAGGGTTTATGTTAGTTTGGATTATTCTTAGGTCTTTAGAAATTCCTTATCAGTGGGTTGAAATATTTTGAATACATACATTGTCAATGGGTGGAGTAAGACTAATACTTTTCAATTCTATGTAGTAAATGTTTCTGGTTTTATGTGTTTAAATTACATAATCTTGAGAGAAGAAATAGAGTAAACACTATCATGGTATACTTGGTGTTATATTTGAATGATAATAATAATCTGTTTCATTTCTAGCATGTAAAATCAAAGCTTTCTGTCCTTGAGAATGCTTATTTATATTTGTCTTGTAGTATGTGGACTTGACATCTCTTTTTTCAACATCAAAAAGTCAATTAATATTTTATAAAGACTAATGATGAATTTAATGTATTATGTATTATTGTGCAAACAGTTTTGTCTAGAATAGATTAGCTTTAATTTGTGTGTTTTTGTTTGTTAATAACATACATATATAATACAGATTTTTTGTAAAGTAGTATATGCACAATCTTTGCTGCATAGGCAAGTGTTCAGCTATGAAAATAAAAATCCCATTTTGTGTAATTAACTATTTTACCACCCTTTGTTTTGCATGTCATCAGTTTTTAGACATTCCAAAACTAATACATATGAATGACATGGCCAGTAAATCTGGATTGAAAATGTTTTTGAGATTTCCATAAGTTAACCTCTAATCTTTCAAGGTCCTGAATGTTTCAATTAATACATTGAGTCTTGTACAATGTACAATCATTTGCGTAATTGGTTACATATCTTCAATTGTAAGTAGAAAATATGTAAAGAAAGGTCTAAATGATCTTTTTATTACATTAGAGAAATCTGAATGGTCAATTTAATACCTAATTTGTATTGCAGACTTACTTCTTACTCATTGTCACTGTTATATGTATAGGTCTGACTTCGTACTCTAGCTAATGTAAATTTGTTTAAAATTTTTTAACAATGGTTTGCTTTCAAAAATTTGGTTGGTTTTTCTTAGGGTAATTTTTTATCATATTTCTTCATAGTAGAATATGTTTTAAAATTACTTATTTATTTTCCAATTAAGAATTTTTGACAAAAGAAACAAATCTATACCTTATTTCATAACCATCTACTGTATGTTAGGGTTTTATTTTGGCTTTTTTCAAGGCTTAAAAGCGTAAAAATTTAACTCCCACTTAAATTTTCCTGCATATTCTAGATTTATTGCTGTTTAAATGTTTAATACATTATACAGTTTTTGAACACATTTTCCCCTTAATGTTAAATAAAAAAGAATATATAAGGTCTATTGTATATATAAAAATAAGAAGATGCGTTATGATTACCAATGAGACAACTCTCCACAAGAGACCAAATGACACAGAGAGTAACAACAATAGGTCACCGTATGGCCTTCAACAATGAGCAAAGTCCATACCGCATAGTCAGCTATAAAACGCCCCGAAATGACAAATAAAAAACTATTCAAACAAGAAAACTAATGGCCTGATTTATGTACAAAATAATGAACGAAAAAAACAAATATGATATACAGCAAGACATCATAAGAATGTGCATATTTAACCAAGTTATCTGTTTTCACTACAATTAAAATGCCTAATCATTACACAGTCTTCAAGATAAACTTTTGAATCTACAGGCCCAAAGCAGAATTTTACAAAAATTTTAGTTAGATTCTATTGGCCTGTAGAGATGATTTTTACAGGCCCAACCGCATTTTTACAAGCCTGGGCTGGTGGGCCTGTGGTTGAACGTGGTGACTGATTACAAATGCTCTGTTGATATAATGTTACAAAAATTATCAAAACCAGATATGCAGTATTTTGCAATCCTCTATTTTACCATTTATGTGAAGCACTTTGGAAGTCAAATTTATTGTCATTATATGCACAATGCACCATGCTTCTGCCATACCTAGAAAATAATTTACATTTCAAGGAGTTGTTTCCATTGTCAAAAAATTAAAATGTGAAACAATGTTGGTAGGTGTGAATGTCTAGTAAATGATGAATATGCACTTATTCTGGCTTGTATGTTAAAATGTTTTTAGTTAAGAAAGAAGTGTAAGAGAAAGGCTTTCTCATTCAAAGCATATATTCAGGTCATTAAAATATAAATTTGCTATCTGTCCCATAAGGTCACACAATATATAGGAAAAAGGTTGCTATAGGTACTAAGTCTGCAATAGAAATTAGCTGCATATTAAACAGCATTCCTAGTTGAGAACAAGTTCATTAAATAACTATAGAATTTCTAAAAGATTTAGATAATCAGTTACATACTTGTGTTTCTTTTAAACAGGTGACAGATTTTGGCTTTGCAAAGAGAGTAAAGGGCAGAACATGGACATTATGTGGTACTCCAGAATATTTGGCTCCTGAAATTATTCTTAGCAAGGTAAATTGAATTTGGAAATTTTTTTTTATGCCTAAGGGACAACAAGTATGTAGGGGAATGGGGTATTATGGTTTGTTTAAATAATTTAAAAGGTAGAACCTTTGGTTGTACATATATACTAAAGATGTGCTTGTTGACAGGATTTTGATTTTCACCTAGTTTCCAGTTGGTGAACTTGGTCAATTTTTGGGGAAATTCTCATATAGGGTACTGGGTTTGTCTGTCATACTGCTCTTACACTTTAGAAAGAAGAACCTTTATATTATAAAGACTTGTAAAAATCTTGAAGATGTGCATGTAGACAGGATTTTGATTTTCTTCCTTTTCTTATAATATTACAGATTAATGAACTTAGTCAATTTTTTATGGAAATTTCTCATTTAGCATATTGGGGTTGTTAGTTAAATTCTCTTATAATTTAGAAACTAGTAATTTTGTATTTTGCAAACAATTGTACATAATTATATCAACCTGTCCGTGTCAGAAGGATTGTGATTTTCATCACTTTTTCACAAAATTTTAAATACTTGTTGAACTGCATGTTGGAACTTCTTTGAATCCCCCATCAGATTATCCATAAAATTACCAGCTGTTTTTTAATTTCCCATTTAGGGTACATGGTTTTAAAAAAGAATACAAAATATATAATCATATAATTTATATCATATGCAGTTGTATCATATGTGTCGTTCAGGCACAAAAACATAATGTCACATTCGACATGTTCCTATTTGTCTGTGCTGTTTTAGGGCATATTTGCATTGATTCTCCAAATGGAAGATGTAAAAAAATTTCGTCCGAAAGCAATAGTCGTATTAGTTAAAATAGTGGAAATGAAATGAAACCTTAGTACTGAAGTTAAAACTTGGAAAAGTAGTATTGATGTAATGATATATGTTTTTGATAATTCCGTTTGGGTATTAGTTTTAACCAATGAAAAGCCAGTTATTAGTCCCCTCCTGATGATTTCGAAGTGGACTTTAGGTTTGCACTCCGTCCATCTGTCTGTCCACTGTCAGTCTGGCAAATCAGTTTTCCACACTTTATTTCTTTGTGCTGTGAAGATATTGATTTGATATTTGGTGTATTGTTATATCATGACAAGTTACAGAATGCTTGTTTATAATTGTATTGTATATTTTAGGGTTACAACAAAGCAGTAGATTGGTGGGCATTAGGAGTTCTAGTCTATGAAATGGCAGCAGGTTATCCTCCATTCTTCGCAGATCAACCCATCCAAATCTATGAGAAAATTGTCTCTGGAAAGGTAAATATAAGAAAACTTTATATGTTAATTGTCAAGTATAATTACAGAAAGAAGTGAAACTTTCATTGATTATTCCCATGTAAATACAGTGTTCCCCATCATAATTGGCCAATTTTATTTTGCATATCAGAAGTGGTATTGTTTTTGTTACTCACAACATTTTCTCTGTTGAAGATAGAGAAGGACCCTATACTGTATAACTTCATTGAAGAAAATACACAGTATCTATGTACCGAAGGCATAACAAAATGTACTTTTATTATTTATTTTACAACTGCCACAAGAATTTTAACGGTTTTCTTTTGGTGTACTTTAATCTTGTTTTAAGTACAGTACAATGACCTGTCATTCAGAACAAAATAATTAAATCAAACTGTCTTCAAATAACATCTATAAATCTTCCCCTGTAAAAGTATAGTTTATGGCAATCAGTCATCTGGAACATACATTTAGTATTCTAAGTTCAAGATAATAAATATTTCAGTTGGAAATGAAAATTTACTTATAAATAAAGTAAGCTTACATTAATGGCAAGGATGTATTGATTTATTAATTTTGTACTGGAAAGTTATGGTTGGTCTATGTCAATAAATCATTGGAATAAGATATTGTCATATCTTCATTTACATACATTTAGATTAGGTTTCTATATTTAGCCATTGATTTGTCATTTTCTGACAGTTTGTGATTATCTGATAACAGTATTCAACATTGTTTTATTAGTTCCAAAATCATTGATTAGATGTTTATTTGAAAATGAATAGATTTACTGTTTTCTTTTCCATTATTTTCTGTTAAAGATCGTGTAGAAGTAAGTTTTTATGCTGGAAGCCAGCCTAATGCTGTCAAAGGCTAATCTTGGTCGATTTTCTCAAGTTATTTTTGAAAACTTCTACTGGAAATAGTTCTTTGATTTTCTGCTGTCTGTTGAGTTCACTTTAACAATTTTGATCTTCAAACAAGATCTAAAAAAACTTGATAAATAGGTATCACATCAATTGTTGTAGTTTATTTCTTTGTTTATTAATAAGATATTGTGTGAAATTGAGAATGACTGAGATTTATGTAGATTATCAGATCAGGTAAATCCCTTGTGTATATTAATTTTGTATTTCCAATTATCTTGTTGTCATGACAACTTACAAGCTCAGGAGATTTGATCAGAAATGTCATCTTCACTAATTAGCCTGGAAATTAACAATAAATTGGCAGCCAATAAAACAAAAGCATAGTTAGCAAAACAAACAAAAAATGCTTATAAAATTTCAGTTATTTAAGGAAAAACTAATTTTTATTCTATAAATTATTTAATTCATAAGGAAGTAAAGTTTAACTTTATTTTATTTTAATATGAAAATGATAAAATTTTGCCAAGTTATGCATGTTGGCACAACAAAACTGAATACAATAGGTAAGTATCTCCAAAACATGAATATTATAAATATTTTTATAAAACCTTTGACTTGAACGGAATGTTGTTTTTTTCCATTCCAGAAATAATTTTGCAAATTATGTCTAGTGAAATAAAAGAGTAAATCTAGAAGTCAATTGAGGTTTTATTTAAGTGAATAATATTGCAAGACTAATTGAGCTATACTTAACACATTTTTATACGACCGAAAAAAAATTTGTTTTCGTATAATGCTATCATGTTGTCGTCGTCCTAAGACACATATGGTTTACGGACAATAACTTTAGTTTAAGTGAATGGATCTCTATGAAATTTTACCAGAAGGTTCAAAGGTTTGGATTGATTTTGGGGGTTATGGTACCAATAGTTTAGGAAAAAGGGGCCAAAAACAATAATTTTTGTAGTTTCCGGACAATAACGTGTGTGTAAGTGTATGGATCTCTCTGAAATTGTACCACAAGGTTCCATATCACAAAGGGAAGGCTGGGATTGAGTTTGGGTGAATTGCCCCAAACGTTCAGGAATAAGGGGCCAAAAACAAGCATTTTTCAAGTTTCCAGACAATAACTTGTGTTTAAGTGTATGGATCTCTCTGAAATTGTACTACAAGGTTCCATACCACAAAGGGAAGGCTTGGAATTGAGTTTGGGGGTAATTGCCCCAAACGTTTAGAAATTAAGGGCAAAAAAGGAGCCAAAAACAAGCATTTTTCTAGTTTCTAGACAATAACTTGTGTTAAAGTTTATGGAACTCTCTGAAATTGTACATTTTTCCTGAAAAGAAAGTAATCTTCAAAATTTCAAAAAAATTTGGGATCGGGGGGTTTCTAAAAGTTTGGGGTTGGATTTTTTTTCAAATTTTTTTGGGGGTTCATATTTTTTTTTCAAGATTTTTCATTTCATAATTTTTGGGTTTTTTCCCCCAAAATATTTCCATTTTTACATTGATTATTTCTGATTTATATTTAAAAAAAAGCAACAAATACTGATATGGCAGGAGATACACACCAAATAGGGTGTGTAAATTGTTATATATAACAGATTAACTAAGTAGTGTGCAACAGCACAGTATCGCGCAATAGCAAGAAAACTTCAATTGAAAATAAATACAAATCTTTTAACCAATTTCAATGGGATTAATTTAGTCTTTAATTTTTGGGGGTTCTAACCTTGTATTACTATTTTGGATATTGGGCCCCATTTTTGAATTGATCTACATTGAGGTCCAAAGGGTCCAAAATTAAACTTTGTTTGATTTCATCAAGAACTGAATTATTGCGGCTCTATGATATGCTGAATCTTATTGTGCATTTAGATTTTTTATTTTGGGCCCTGTTTTCAAATAAGTCCATATTAAGGTTTGAAGGGTCCAAAATTAAACTGTTTGATTTCAACTAAAATTAATATTTTGGTTTTTTTTTATATGCTGAACCTAACCATGTTGTTAGATTTTAGATATCAGACCATACTAGGTAACTTAAATGTCCCATTTCAAATTTTTAAGATCTTTGACCACATTTGTTTTGTGTCAGAAACCTATATTATGTCATAAATTTGATCACAATCCAAATTCAGACAGTATCAAGCTTGAATATTGTGTCCAAACTTTCCCCTACTGTTTAGGGTTCGACCTCTGCGGTCGTATCAGGCTGCGCTCTGCAAAGCATTTTATTTTTATTGTAATACAGGAACCATATTCATTAATTTTGCATTATCATAAGTTGTTAAAGATTAACAGTAAAAATATCAAATTATATTGGGAAGCAAATTAAACTTATAGCTAGCTGCATAATTCCAGCTGACTATGCCAGATGGCCCTTTGATTTTTTCAGTGTTTATACTACAATACTTAGGCCTTTGGAAGTGAGATATTTGGTTTTGATATGTAAAAAAATCTGTTCTAGCAATAAGGTAACCTTTCACTGCAGCTATGGTTCAAATAGTATTTCTCCAAGGTCATGTGTTGTTATCATTTAATCATGAAAAGTGAATTTACATATAACTAAATTTATATTGTTTGTTTTCAGGTTCGATTTCCATCCCACTTTAGTTCAGATTTAAAAGATCTTTTGAGGTCATTACTACAAGTAGATTTGACTAAACGTTTTGGAAATCTGAAAAATGGTGTTAATGATATCAAAAACCACAAATGGTTTCAGTCTACAGACTGGATAGCAATATATCAAAGAAAGGTAATGTATGGAATATAAGCAACTTTTACAGAATCATAGAATATAACAATATCTGATACATGTTCTCCTTATAGAGTAGCTTATAAGTTTGAAATAGAGATTGACCGGTGTTCAAATTGTGTGGATCTAAGAAGGAACTTTTGATTTACAAAAGTCAAGGACATCTCATTCTTTACACTGATGCTTTATACAGGACCTTTGACCTTTTTAAGGAGGAAGTTTCACTTGAAAATTCATATTGTCAGGCCCTGAACTGTCATTATTCAAAGCAAATTTGAAATCTTGGATCAATATTACTGCAGCTAAATTAAACAACAAAAGCTAGTAATGGCCTGATGACTACACAAATGAAAAAAAACTATATTCTGTTTTATGTCAGTAAAGATGGAAACATGCCAGACATTATCTTGTTTACATAATTGATAATGATGTTGTTCTGATTTGATTGTTATTCTCAGCAGTATGATTAAAATTAAATCTGGGATAATGTGTTTCTTTTCTTGGATCGATCTGAAGTAGTACTTTAGAAAATTACTCCTTCCTTTATATAAGATTAATTGCATGTAATAGTAATATTGAAAGTCAGAAACATGATGGTCTAAAAAAATATAAGAGGAGTTTTACTATGTAGGAGTGTATTCATTGGTGGATGTCAATTTTATATTGTTTTATTAGTTTTGGAGAGTCCTTTCAGACTTAGCATTCTTATTTCAATAACAACAATTAGAAACTCTTAGAATAACAATACTTTGACAATAAAGTTTCACATAATTTGTTAGCGTTTTCACTGTCAGATATGTAACTTCAAAAATAAGTAAGGAAAAAAAGATGAACATGTTTAGTTTGTTTTTAAAGTACAAATGTACATTTATATATTTATTCATTCAGCCGTCTATTCCAATTAAGTGTTGTGTTCAGGGGAAGATTTATGTAATTTAAAGAGAGGAGAATATTAATGGAATCTTAAAGAGGAATACATCCATGTGATAGCAACAAATTAAAAATTAAAAAATCTTTCAAAGTTTTGTGTTAAGGTCCAGCTTTAAATAAGGAATGCTTTCAGTTAGTGTGCATACCTTAGTTAAAAATAAAGATTCATGGGGAAAAAAGGTCACCTTGAACTTGACCTACATTAAACCCAATGTTGACTTTGGGTCTATTTTGTGTAAAAAGCACAGATCTAAGCAGCAACTAGGGACTGAAGTGGTGTTTTGTCACTGGGTACATGTTTTATATTAAGAAGTGCAAACATTTGGTCATTGGGATCTACATGTTACACATGAATGCCTCGGATCCAGACTTGCTTTTAAAAAAGTTAGCTGACAAACCTGCAAACCTAAAAAAAACATTGCTCATAGTAAGTCCTACATCCTTTTGTGAAATGCTATCCTGATTAAGGCTACTGAACTACAAATCATAGATATTTGTTGATTGCTCAGGTTGGATAGTAATGGAGGGTCACTGAAACAAATTTGGATCACTTACACTAAAATTTTTATGCATAAATGACTGGATGACATTTAGCCAAATTTCGAACACTTTGTGTAAAAAGATAATCCCACATTCACAGTTACATCTATCGAAATATTACATTATTGTCTTTTTAGAGCCACACTAGCTTAGACCACTATATTTAACTTTTTTTTTTGTATTATCCAGGTTGATGCTCCATTTATACCTAAATGCAAAGGACCTGGAGATGCCAGTAATTTTGATGACTATGAAGAAGAACCACTCAGGATTTCATCTACAGAAAAATGTGCAAAAGAGTTTGCTGATTTTTAAGAGTTCATTTAACAATGGAGAGGTGTCATGTGGGTCATTACAAATTACACAAGTCATGCTGGAGAGGGAATGAACGAACATTTATCATTAATATCTGTTTAGATCTCATCCAGTTTTTTCCCCCACATGTGCAATATTGAGTGATCAATGTTAGGTTGTGTGTATGTTATATCATCTGGAGCAGTAGAACGTTCTGTGATGTTACTGCCAATCTTAACAGCATTATATAAAACCTCGTAGAATGCTGATAGCCAGGAGTGATGTTGGACAAATTTTAGGCTTTTTACAGCTGCTGCTTTACAAAAGAAATGATGTTCATGTGTAGTTCCATGTCTGATTTGTATTAGTGAATGGTTTACAGATATTTGTTTTATGTGTATAGCCTTGAACGTAGCAAAAAGAACTTGCTATATATAAAGTGGTTTTAACTGACAGGAAAATCTCTAAAGAATTTCAATTTTTTAAAGCAAAACAGGAATTGTGTATGGTATGGTATTATTATGGCTAGTTATCTAGTATTTCTAGAAATTTGTATGACATCAGCTTTAGTGAATTGTCAGCTATTGTTTATATCAAGTTGAATAAATTTATATTGCTCGTTTGTCAGTTTTAATAAAGACGACAAACACCAGTACTGATTGAATAATTCATTTAAAGTCATGTATTCATAATCTTAGTTCTTGGCAATTTTCAAAATTGATCAACTAATTGATTCTATTTCATGTTTCATTATGTAGTAGTGATTGAAGTTTAATCACTGCATACTTTTACTTCTAGTGGAGGATAAAAAACTCCATTTTGTTGACTATTTAAAGATATTATTTTATTTTTAGTTTACATGAGCGTAGAAATGTATATGATGTTTACAGTTTTTACTATGTAGAGTTTGTTTATATTTTGTTAAGATTTGTCTACCTAATTACATTACATGTATATGTCTAGTGGTTTCAGAAGTTAGAACTAGTCTTTATTAATTATTCATATGACATATATAATACATGTATATGTGTGTAATAATGTCTGTATATAATTGTATGGTTCAGATGATTGACATTTGTTTGTATATCTATGTGAATTATAGCTCTGATACTCAGAACTTTTGTACTCATTAGATCAATGGGTGTTTAGAATCTATGTCACAATAAAGGATTTGTTAACTTTTATTATACAGAATTGTTGGTTACCAAACGGTAATGCCACTGTTACAGATATGTTAAACTTACATACTCTGGTATTTGGAATTCTTATGGATGAAGTTTTTCTTGAAAGTTGAGAGTGGAAAATATGAATAAGGTCTGGATATGAAGACATTTTTTTTGTACAAAATCAAAAGACAAATCCCAAAGAATTGAGCAAAATAAGTTGAACGTAACCTGGATATGTCACAATCCACTTTCTGTGTCATTGACCATAGTCCATCACATTTTCCATTATCTGAAACTTTAACAAAAACCAAACAAATTTGAACATAATCTCCCATAGGTGAATAGTATTGTGCCATCTTTTTTTCATTTTCATTGATTTTGTAGGGTTCCCCATAACCAAACAAGGGCTGTTACATGTTTCTTAAAGGGTATACATATCCATCTTGGAACTCATAAAAAATGACTTACTAGAAACCAACCAAATTCAATCAAAATCTTCAGTTTGAAATGTTTTATTGCACATTGATTTTTGGGGTTTCCCATACCCAAATCGGGACCTGTTGATGTGTGATATGAGTATTCAATAATTATCAAACCACTGAGATTCGTTGGTTCTTTGGTCAGAACATCAACCCATGGAAGGTTAGGATATAAGCACTTGTATGAAAACATCGGAGATTTCCTTTCTCTAAAAATCTTAGTACATTAAATTGATAAATGTTATCATATATCATTGAAAGCCATTTTGTTTTTTCAAAGGTTGGCATATTTCTGTATCCATCTTGTAACATAGATTCTAACACCAGCCTAAGAATGCACATTTACACATCACCAGTAAATTCATTTAGCAGTATTAGTAATAATAACTTCCAAAATGTCTAAACATGGAATAGTGTTTTGAACATACAGGGTACACATAGAATCTAGCAAATCCATCATGATAAGTGAAAACTGATTCTTGAATCTTAAAAGCAAACTACTGGTATATAATTGTCAATGATATTTTAGTCAAATGATGGTTTGATGCATGCTGTAAATTATATGTTGACGTATAAACAAATGATGTTGGTTTTATTGTAGGTTTGTGTAGAACTACCGGTAAATCTGATAATATCACAATAGTGAGGAAAATTCACTGGCTTTTTTAGACGGTTTTCAGTTTTCATATAATCATAGCAAAAATCTGTGGCTAAATTAAAAATCAATTAAAGCTTTGTGTGTAGACCTGCAGAAATTTCAGATATAGTTAAAAATCATTCAATATCCGGAATTAAAGAGGAAGGTACATTTTTTTTTGTGAAAGGGGGGGGATTAAAACATGTACCTGTTAAGACTTAGATTTACCTACCATGTTAAGTAGCTAGGCTGTATTAAGGGAATTAAAATGTCAGATACTGCTAGATACTTTGTATGTACAACATAGGAAATTTTTGTTCTCTTACAAGCTTGTCATTGTTTAACTTATCAAATCACTCAAAATGTCAAACAAATCTTGGGAAAGGGCCTTGTATGTGTTGTTATGAGTTCAGAATGTTTTCACTTGTGTTGTTGGATTTCTAAGAGAACTGCTTTGCAATTATTTGCTTTTACCAAACTTGTACATTTTGGGTAATTGCACATTAATAACATATTAGTGCTATAAGAATACACTATTATACAAATTTTATACCTATATATAGAAAGAAATTTTATGTGTGTAAATGTACCATAATAGGTAAAATAATAATTTGAAAATGCTTGTTTGTATGTGTAATATCTAGTTTTTGGTTTGATATTTGTTACGTCTATAATTATTTGCATGTTATGTTTAGTTGCATAATGCATTTACTGTTTGGCTTTTCCCCTCCAAGCTGTTCTCAACTTTAAGAATATTCTAATATTATATTTTATAAACAAATAGCAACACATTCAAATGCATAATTCAGAATTTCAAGTAAAAATACAATGACTGTTCAGGAATGTTGAAACTGAATGACCAAAGACCAGGAATGATTTGGAGTATAAAATGTTGCTGCAAGCCAGTGTTAATCAAAATTATATTAGTCTCTGTTATTTATCTTTATGGCATGAAGTAACTTTGAATGGTTTTCAAGCAAATCAAGATGTATAAATTTATTTATAATTAGTGCTTGTCTTGAAAGTAAATGGAAGTTCTTTTGAAGAATTGTATATATATATGCTGATTCTTAAATCTGCATAAAATCTTTGTTCAAATTCTGTGACACAATTTAATTTAAATGTTTATTGGGTAGGATAATACAAACAAAATAGCCAAAAGACATTCTCTATTTACAGCCAATAGTATTCCTTATCCATTTGGAACCTTCTTCATGGCTCAAACCTCTATTTCAATATCCTAGAAAGAAAAACATTTCTGTCTCGCGTAGGAATTTTTAGGATTTCATGAAATGATATATTTTAATATCAGTGGTACAAAAAAATGTATTAAGAACTACTATCAGGCATTTATCTTTGTCTGGTGTTACTAGTTCTGTATGTATTTTTGTTATTTAATTGCAAATCCAAACCAAAAAATAAACAATTCAGTCTATAATATATTGTGTTTTTCTTTAATATTCATCCAGTCTTTTATAGAAGGCTTTTTCCCCCTGATAAAATTACACCATGTCATAGACAAAACATGGAAATGATGGACTTGAAAATCATGACATTTTCCTTGATTTTTCAAACTATGATTTTCAGGTCCTCCCTTTCCATGTTTTGTTGGAAATGGTGTATTTTTTGCCAAATATCAATAAAGGATAAAAGCATTATATGTGTATCATAGCAAGGTTGTCTATCATAGTCAGTGACTGTAGGTAGGAAAACATGAATAAATGAGGAAATTTGGTAGGATTGCCAAGGAGACAAAAGGACAAAGATGTGAACAATTACAGGTCACTCACTGCCTTCATAAGAGGCAAAACCTATAGTGTATAGTAAGCTATAAAAGATCCTGGCATGGCAAAATCTGAAACAATTCAAAAGAGAAAACCAAAGGCCCGATCTATATTATAACAATGAATGAAAAACAAATATGGTCGACAGCAATCAATGACAACCACTTGATTACAAGTTCCTGGCTTGGAACAGGCACATAAAGAATGTGGCAAGGTTAAACATGACTGAGTGCTCAACTTTCCAAATAACCTAGACAGTGGTGTAACAGCACAAAACATAAGAAAAACTGTAAAAGTTAGTTGGAAAGGGTTTGACTCATCAGATGGTGGTACTATAATACCTTATTTATAACAAGTTCAAAGCCCAATTTCAATTAATAAAAAAAACATGTTCCCATGGACTAAAGTGTCAATCAGTACATCTACAGATATAGTGGAAATACATCGTGATCTTTCTCAGAAGGGCACCAACTTGTGCAATGCCAAAATATAAGTATCAACCAGATGTAGGACCATGAGTGTTATTACCTGGAAGGCAATACATGTTAAGTTGTGTATTAAACTGTTAAGAATAAAATCATTGAATGCATTGGTAAAGATAATATTCAAAGATCTTATAACAATGCTAAATTGATAACCTTTTAGAATGGGTTTATTCAGAGGTATCTTCATTTACAAGCTCTATAAGCAACATAAAAATTAGGATGTGATATTCCATTTCTGTCATGTCTCAACAAGGCGAGAAAGCAAAACTAAGGGGTGTTGTTTCCAGCAGTGTCAACAATGTATTGCATGTAGTTTTATTTCCATAGAATTTAGTTGGCCCCACCCCATCTGTCATGGTCTATTGACCTTGAAACTTTGGCATAGTGTTATACATGATTGTTGGTTGCTTAATGTCCAGTGGCAAATATTTCATACATGTTAACGACAATACATAATATTACATGTTAAGGTATTTAAGATGAACCCCCAAAGGTTAGTCAATGATATTTGGTATGCAGTTGTACATGTATTTGCATTTGCACATATCATTTCATGGTAATAATATGGCCCTGCCAATCATGGTTCAATGACTTTAAAACTGTTGCATAGTTAACATGTTAAAAATTTTGGTTTAGGTCAGTTTAAAGGGAACCACCTAATATAATAAGTTTTGTGGTATTTGGTATGCAGTTGTATTAGCATTGGCATTTCTCATTTCCACAAAGATTATTTGGCCCTGCACCTTCAGTCATGGCTCATTGACTGAATGTTTTGCCTAGTTTACATATCAAAAGTATTGCCATTTTATTTCAACATTTACATTATACTATGAAAATTACATAGAGCCAAGTCATATAACTATGTCAACATTTTATTATAAGATTTCCACAGAAACAGCCAAACTTCCAAAGCAAATATTGGTATCTATGAAATAATTTAATAAGGGTTTTAAATAATTTGTTATAACAAAATCACTGAATATGTAATTTTTCAGATATATACCTGTAGACAGTCATTGAAATCTAAAATATAACCATGGGCATAGAGAACGAGTTTGCAAAATATACATATCATAAGAAGGGGCCAAAACAGCAAAATATACATATCATAAGAGGGGGCCAAAACAGCAAAATAACCAATAAGTAACAAACAATTATCTCTTTTGTCTTAAAATTTTGGTACAAAGTTTTCCATCGGAAACTGAAATATCCAAATCATTTTTAATTTACTGAATTGGGATTTTAATTTACCAGTTTAATGAAAATAAAATAGAAATCACAACACTTATTTACATTTAAAAACATAATAACAACAGGAATATAAAATGTTATGAAAAATGATTTACTGTAACTGTATCTAAAAAAATGTAATATACCAGTATGAGCATGAGATTATTATTTCATGCTTTAATTCATTATCCCAAATCAATTACTAAATCTTGTTTACTTCTAAAGTTCATAAGGTAAATGACCATATAAATATCCTGATAATAGACAGATCATGTATATCTTATTATTGAAAATATAGGAGATAGCATGATAATGTGATTGGTCATTGAATAACTGGTAGTTTATATCCTATAGGTAAAAGATAATACTGATATTAAATTTCTGACCAGTATAGAAAGGTTAACAAGCTTTGTTGTGTCACTGTGTGTTATTAAAGATTCTGTTTGTATTTTTCAGACAGATAGTTATTTGCTTAAATTAGACTAGCTCTCAGTAGCTGTGCCTACTCTATATCAATATATGGTGTCTTTTTTTTGTAAGAAGTGTCAAGTCATTTTTCAATTGACTTTCAACATTTGTTTAAATGTTGTGCTGTTACACAACTGTCCCATGTTAGGTGGAAGGTTGAACACTTACAACCATGTTTAATCCTGCTACATTCTTTATGTGCCTTCTCCAAACAAGGAGCCTTTAGTCCAGTGGTTGTTATTTAGTGCTTCACATTTTGCCCATTTAAGGGCCTGTCAAAGCTTAACATACGGAATGGGTTTTGCACATCATTGATGGTTGTATGGTGACCTGTACCTTCTATGTTGTATAGTTGTTTCATTTACAATGATACTAAGATACATCTCCTTATTTTTTCTATTATCAGTGCTAACATGTTTATTTATCTATTGAGTATCTTTTCCTTTTCCCATCAAGTTAATACAGATTAGGTTGGTATAGGATGATACATAAAAGTACAAAAGCAAAGTAAACAAAACATTTTGAATGAAAATTGATCACTTCATTTTGCAGTATAATTGTTGCATTTAAATTATTAGTGGAAAAATTTGATATTCAAGCGCATAAAAGTTTTAACTTCCACACAAATTTATAAATATTATCAAAATTATTTACTACTAAATACTGAAACTGTTTATTCCTTTGAAGTTTTAATTATTTTTGATTCAGACACAGTTTAATTGCAAGTATTATATTTATCTTGATGGTAGCTGTACTTTTATTTGTGAAATAAAAAAAAAACAAATATGAGCAGGATCTTTCTGCATAGTCAAGTGAATGATTCAGTATTAATGGATAATAACATCCTGTTATTGACCAGTGACCAAGGGTTTATTAGAAGTGATTTACTATGAGGGATTAATACCTGTAAAACTGTCTAATATTTCACCTACATAGTATAAACAATGTATGAGGACAAAGGTGGTTAATGAAAAGGACCACTGGTCAAAGGGGATTAACTTTTTTTATTTAAAACCATGGCTGGAACATCTTATTTTCATGCAAAATTTGCATATTATGATCTAACACTGTTGTGTTTCATGTAAACATCTATATTATTATTTAAGATAAATCAAATGACAAGGATGATGCCTTACAGGGCCAAAATTTTCAAAGTTTTAAAAAGGCTTATCTCTGACAAACATCATGGATAAGAACTTGGAACATTTTGACAATTCTTACCGAAGTATAGGTCTTCTGATAGGGCAACTTATTGGAGTTATCTTCATAATAATTACTATAAACAAATTAGTGGAATGAGAAATAAGAGGCTTAAAATAGTTTATGGGCATCTTCAACATTTAACTTTAAAGTTCTTGACTTTGGTCTCATTTTTGTTGATCATCTACTGCTCATAATTTTTCTGTAATTAATTTCTCTCCATCTACTAAAATGTTTGCCCAAAATACAAAAAAAAAGAGGTAAAAATTGACATTTAAGGGCAATAACTTTTCTAAGAAGCAGACTTACAATTTCGGCTTGACGTAATTGTAGATCTTGTTCGATCATTTTTTGCTGTTTCTCTTTATCTACTTTAGATTTTGCTCAATCCATAAAAAAGATGATATATTTGAAGATCTTGTTTTTCTGATCAATTTTGCTTTTTTACAATTTTTCTTCATCTACTGTAATTTTGGCCTAAAATGCAAAAATAGATAAAAATTGTCATTAGGGACAATACCTTTTAAAAAGAATTGGTCAACGGTCTATTTGAATTTTTCTAGATAACAGGCAAAAAGTTTTAAACAACAGGCTTTTTAGAGCCTGAATTGCTCATCTGGTAAAAAATATGCTATTTTAATATTTATTTTTTTCCTTCATTGCAATAAGTTATACAAATGTATAGTAATAAGTTAAACCAACTTTCAATGGCAATAACTGTAAGCAGTCAATTGACGATTTCTGCAAAGTTGACTTATTTGTAGATCTTATTGTTCTGGACATTTTTACTGCTAAAAATTTCTCTCTAACTGTTAAAGTGTATCAAGATCATAACCAACAACTGTGAAATTTTAAAATTGACATTTATGGAGCAATTACTCCAAAATGGGTTGTCCCATTTTTCTGAAACGACCTGCTGACCATTTTTACCAGTCAAATTTGCTCTTACCACTTGAGATATAAGCCAAAAACTGCATTTTTAAAAAAAGTTTGTGACAACGGAAGCCATGTGATGGAAAAAGCTCACATGCCCTTTTACGTCAGGTGAGCTAAAAATGGATAAAATCGTTATTTGAGGGTAATAACTCCTATAAGGAGTTGTCTGACAGTTTTGGTTTAAACGGATAATAGGTAGATCTCAATGTTCTGAACATTTCCGTCCCTGTCAGATTTTTTCGAACTATAGAGGTTTTTTAAAAAGATAGTAGACAAAACTTGCATTTTACCCCTATGTTCTAGGCTTAGCCATGTAGGCCATGTTGGTTGTTGGT